TGTTCCCTGAAAATCGCTGTTATCATGTGCTTAAATTGCTAGATTTCATATTCAAATACACATACTCTACAAACAATTTGTGCAGTTAACACAGTCATCACAGGGTCCTGAAGCGACATTCATCCTCCACTTACAAAGATGACAGGATTAAGAGATTAAAGTTAAGACAGGCGTAAGAAATTATAAAAGTATTAATTTGGGGAACTAATAAATGTCCATGAATCTTCACAATTTATGTTCTTCTGTCGTGCTTTCAGCCGATTCCTCCCTTCAGGGTCCCTGACTTCCCGCAACAATCCTGGAAGTTGTGAAAGTTATCTTACATGGCAAATGACAATTTGCAGGTGCGATTGAAATCTTAGATTATCCCGGTGGGTCCTAAGTATTATTACAATTGTGTATATAAGAAATAGGTAAAAGAAGATTTGATTACAGAAGAAATGCAATATGATGACATTGCAGAGATCAGAATGATGCAGTCAAAAACCAAGAAATGCTAGCAGCCACGAGAAGCAAAAAAGGCAAAGAATAAAATCACTTCTGATGCCTTCAGAAAGAATCAGCCCTTCCAATAACTTGATTTTAGCTCTGAATGATTCATTTTCTACTTACGTCTTCCAGAAATGTAAGGGATTAAATTTCTATCATTTTAATCCACAAAGTATATGGTAATTTGTTACAGAGACAATATGAAACTAATCAAGGTAACACGCACAGAGGTTTTAGCAATAATCTAAATAAGAGATCAAAATGGTTTAGAGTTGATGGCAGAACTGATGTTGGGACTAAATTCTAGATATATTTTAAAGGTAATCCCTATAGGATTTGGTGATGTACTGGATGTTCACTGCTAGAGAAAGAAGGCAATTGAGGATGACGCCGAAGGTATGTTGGGGTGTGTGTGTGTGTGTGTGTATGCATGTGTTTGTTTGCTTAAACAACTGAGTGAATAGCAGTGCCAATTTCTGAGATGCAGAATACTTATGGAGGAGCAGGTTTAGAAGGGGTACAAAATAATATTTTCGTTTTGCTCATATTAAGTTTGAGATACATATTAGACATCTAAGTGGAATTGTCAATAAATTGGTTGTACATATAAATCTGAAAATTAGAGGTGTGGTCTGGAACTGAGATATAAATTTAGAATTCATCAGCATTTAGATGGGATATAAAATCATTGGACTGGATGATATTGTATACTAAATGCTTGTAGATAAGAAAAATAAGAAGTCCGAGGTCTAAGTTTTTGGGCTATTCAACATTTATAGATTGAAGAGGTGAAGAGAAACCAGCAACAGAGGCTGATAAGGAATAGTAATATAATAGAAGGGAAACCAAGAAAGCAGAGTGACATGATAACCAAGAGAAGAATATTTCATGAAAGGGGTCAGTTGTATCAAGTGCTGCTAGTGGAACTGTAGATGTGAAAGCCATTCCATGGAATGGTAAGGACAAAATCTGAAATAAGTCTGGGAGAGAAAAGAAAGTAGTAATAGTGATTTTCTCCGTTAATGGATCTGGGAATCTAGTATAGGAGAGTGAATTTTGCCAACTCTCCTTTTGTTCTTTTTGAATTATCCACCATATATATGCATTCAATTTTTCAATTAAAATATAGTTTAAAAAGAGATTGTTAGTTGGAGAAAAGGAAGTGAAGATAACTAATATGAATAATTCTTTCCAAGAGATTTTCTATACAAAGATGATGGAAAATGGGGTGGGGGCTGGAAGAGGCTGTGAAGGAAAAGGGATTTTTTAAGTGGAAACGGGATTTTTTAAATGGTAGGAGTTGCTAATTTTTTTTTGAACACTGATGGGACAAAATCTACAAAGAGTTAAGAAAAAATGATGTTATAGAAGAATATGAGTTAACAAAAAAGCTATACGCATAAATAGTGAAGAAAATTCAATCCTGTGTTATGAGTTGACTTATGTCCCCCAAATTTATATTCAAGTTCTAACATCTGGTACTTGTGAATATTACTTTATTTGGAATTGGATCTTTGCAGGAGTAATCAAAAAAAGATGAGATCATACTGAATTAAGTTGTGCCCTAATCTAGTGACTAGTGTTCTTACAAGAAAAGAAAATCTTTTTCTTATCAGAACAAAGGGAGAAAGAGACATAGACAAAAAGTGGATGCCATGTGATGATGAAGGCAGATATTGGTGCAATGCATCTACAAGCCACAAAATACCAGGAACTGCCAGAAACTAGGAGAGAGAGGCACAGAACAGAGTCTCCCTTAGAACCTCTAGAGTAAACCAATCCTGCTGATACCTTGATTTTGGACTTGTAGTCTCCAGAACTGTGAGACAATATATAATGGTTTAAGCCAATCAGTTTCTGGTAGTTTCTTACAGTAGCCTTCGGAAACTAGTATGCCTAGTTAGAGGAGTTAAATGTAACAAGAAGAAAGCATCTGCTCTAACAGGACTGAAGGTGGGGTACTGGGGTAAAGATGAACGCAGAATACTGCCAGGTAGCATTAATGGACCACTTGAAATTTGTCATTTTATATTTAAATTGAAGATAATGATTATGGTTACACAGTTTTTTTTTTTCTCATGCACATTTATCTTGCAGAGGTGTGGGGCATAATTAGAGGTTTAAATTTGTTAAAAATTAAGCTTTTTTCAGCAAAGATGTCCAAAAAGAGAGTGGGGTAAAGGGAGCTGAGGATATACTCAAGGAAATATTTGTGCTAATTCACCATGAGCCTGTAAAAATCTAAGATAGGAAAAGATTTATGACAGGCAACAGAAGAAAAGCCACAGAAGGATCATTAGCAAGGAACAGGGAAAAGGTAGTAGAATCAATGATCAGTCTTAGAGGTAGAATTGCTGAAATGAGATTATTAGAGGTACCTGACGTATCAGTTGGAGAGTGGAATGTTTGAATTTGAGATTTTGGATGGATATGTGCAGTAGTAAACCACTAAATTAGGATGTAAGACAAAATAACTGGAGAAGAGAAAGTTAAATAATTAAAATGTTAGATATGAGATTGATCATCTAACAGTAAAATTACTAGAAATTAAGACAAAGGTACTTTTGGAGACAGTGATAGCCAGACTGAAAATCATCACAAAATGAAGCAGAGTACTAGGAGTTAGGTCGTGAATATCACAAGGAAAGGTCACAGGTGATATAAGTTGATGACATGAGATTCAAAGTTGGCTATTTTTGGAAGTAAGAAAGGAGAATGACCTGGAAATAGCATTGAGGAATAAAGCCGACATCTATTGCGTTTTTTGGGTTCAGCGGTAGGAGAGGATGTAGGAAGGAAAACATCAACCGCTCTTGAAGGCTGCAGGAAAAGCAATGAATTTGAGAGAGAGTTGGGTTTCAGATACAGCAAGAGGACAGAGTTATCATTCAGATAGGAGGCAGAGGAGGACATACAGGGTGTTGCTGATGACAGTGAGTTTCAAAGAGATAATGCCTAATGGTGACATAAACCTGAGGTCTTTGTGACCTAAGAGGGAAGATCATATGTAGGCAGCATCAAGCTAGAAATGTCTTTGTAAAAGTGCTAGTGATTTGAGAAGCTCACTTTGGGGAGCTCAATTTTAATCTCTGGATCAAATCTCCTTCATTTCTCTTTCTTTCTTTCTTTCTTTCTTTCTTTCTTTCTTTCTTTCTTTCTTTCTTTCTTTCTTTCTGTCTGTCTGTCTGTCTTTCTGTCTGTCTCTCTCTCTCTGTCGCCCAGGCTGGAGTGCAGTGGCGTGATCTCCATTCTCTGCAAGCTCCGCCCCCTGGGTTCATGCCATTCTCCTGCCTCAGCCTCCCGAGTAGCTGGTACTACAGGCGCCCGCCACCACACCTGGCTAATTTTTTTGTATTTTTAGTAGAGGCGGGGTTTCACCATGTTAGCCAGGATAGTCTTGATCTCCTGACATCGTGGTCCGCAAAGTGCTGGGATTACAGGAGAGAGTCACCGCGCCTGGCCCACTCTTTTTCTTTCTTTCAAACTTACTGAATTTTCATTTTCTAAAAGTAATACACACTAATAGAAAAAAATATAAACATTACAGATATATATCATTTAAAGAGGGAAAATGTCTGCAATTCCTTTCTATGGAATAATTCTCCAAAGTTTGAATTTCTGAGTGAAATATTTTCTGAATTAGCTTTTTGCTATTGAATTTGTGCACTTCTTAATGTTTACTGGCAACTAAGATTTTTTTCCTATAAATTGCCTGGTCATATACCCCATATTTTTATTCCACATTAATTGTATTTTTTTCATAGACTTTACAAGTGTTTTATATTAGGTTGTACCATAAGAAATTTCCATTTTTTAGGTCAAAATAGTTTAATACAAGCAATCTCATATATTTCAATTTAATATACATGGGATATTATCTGGTAGTTGTAAGTTAGCATGGTTTACATTATCTTAATTTTTAAATTACTTTCAGAAATATTCTTTAAGAGGAGATTGACTTTTAAAATAAAAAACAACACTACAGCAACTAAAGGCTTCAGAAAAACTGTTTAATTCCATATGAATAATACTTTATCTTCTACTTAATGATGTCTTTAAAAAATAAACTCTATACTTTCTTGGACATAATAATGTATTTATCAGAAAAATAGAATGGTCTAGTTTTACCTACACATATATTTAAGTTTACCAAACTAGGATACATAGTCTTACTACATTGTATCCTGCTTTACATTTTAAAGTGCTTTCACATTAGTTTATTCTTTCCATGATTCCTAAAACAAGATGTAGTAATAAGAAACTGAGACTCAGAGAGATAAAACAGTCAAGATTCACAGGTATTTTGTAAAAAAGACTGCACATGTGAAATTTCAAAGCAAAACATCTAAGATATTATTGAAAATTTCATATCTCTGTTTAAAATACAATTTCTAATTTATAAATAAAACGACTATGAAAGAAACATTCTTTACAGTTAAACATACACATTTGTAACCAAGTTGACACATTGATTATTTGAAATACTAAAAAGAATTAAAAAGAGGACTTACAACCTTGGAAGAGACATTTCCCCTGCCTGTATGTTGCCTGGACTTGAGCATAGTAAGTTGAAACTGGTGATGTTGAGTGATGACGTCATAAAGGGATTGTGAATAAAATAAACTTAAAGGGGACAGAGCAGTCATATTTTAAAGTGCACAGGTGCTTTTGAAACCTATTCTTAAATTGTGGGAGTGTTCACACTCAACTTTTTAAAGCTTGAACTGAATTAGTCAGTATTCATTAATTGAATCTACCTGTTTGGCTTATTGAATAATTATTTCTTATCAGCCTATTTTAACACTAGCTTTGAATGTGCATGGGTGAATAAAGATGTGTTTATGTGTGTGTATTTGTGTGTGGAAAAGAGATATATGTGCTGAAAGGAAAATAGAAGAATGTAAATTTTCCTCTAAAAAGAGCAGTGGTAGCTTACTACATTTTCTTCACTTTTAGGCTTTTCTCCCCTACAACATTTTCGTACATTTATAGTGGTATTTCCACAAAAGAACTTGAAGATATCTTATTCTTAGATATGTAAATTCAGCAAAAGTAAACTCTCTATTAAACTACTATTGACAAATCTGAAAAACACTTTTCACCCAAAGCTTAAAACAACTCTTATTATGTACAGAGATGTGTTAGAACAAGTTATAAACAGCTACTTGGTATATAAAACTCATAAACGTGAATGATTCATTACAGATAAGAAACATTTCAAGGCAGGTAGGAATTGTATACAGGTAAAATCGTCCATATGTGTTTTAGTTAACAGTGCCCATATTTCTAGCCACAGGAGAAAAAACAATTCACTAGTTCTTATTTTTCACCACTTTTTGTCATTGAATCTTTATTTCATTTTTGAAAGTTTATATATCTTATATAATAATGATATTTTATTTTTTAATGAAAAATGTGATCCAAGACACCAAGATAATTTTTACCTGAGCAGTACAAAGCAGTATATCTCATAACTTTTTCATTGACCAAACTAATTTCACAAGCTAGTGAAATAGCATTGTCTTAAGGAAAGTAATATAAAGCCATTTAATTTATAAGTAAAAATGCACCACTATTATGTATTTGAAAGCAATATTAACTATGAGTTAAAGGCCATAAAAATGTAATTTCACTCCTCTGGCAGAGTAAATTCATTCCTAAGTAAATTAATATTTAACACAAAGTCATTCATTACAGTTCTACATAAATATTAAAATCTAGAAATACTGTAAATGTTCGAAACTAGGGAATGGTTTCAGTAAATCACTACATTTTCATGACAGTAGGAATCATGTTCATTTTGCTCATCATCATATACCTAACATTTACTTGAAAAAATGGAACGTGAAACTATTCGTACAGTTTGATATATATCATATAAAGCAAATAAACTTATTGTAAACATTGATGTAAACACATAAAAATGGTAATAATTAGATTATAGGTAATTTTCCACATATAATGTTTTGCATTTAAAAATTTCTACAAGTAGAGTGACATCAGCAAGATGCCAAAATAGGTGGTCGTAGGCTTCACTCCACCACAGAAATATCAATTAGCAACTAAAGAAAATGAAATTTAAAAGAATAACTTAGTTAAAACCTCAAAATATGGGAATTATCCTGAGTCAACTGCATGCTCAATGAAACAGAATAAAAATCTGCATTGAAATGGTAGCAGAAACAGTTTAACTCTGAGCATATCACTCCTCAAACAGCTCCAGGTTGGCACAGCACCACACAGAGAGGATTCCACAGGGTTTATGGTTTCTACAGTGGGAAAAGATGACCAGGGAGGTTGACATCCAGCTTCCCTGGCATTGTGAGACACTTCTGAGGAGGCCTACTCAGTTTTCACCTTATGGGAAACAGGGAATATAGAGGGAAAATGCGTAAGTAGACCACTTGGGGTCAGGTAGAAATCAAGAAAGGAGACAGAGCCCAAGGAAGCCAGTGAACAGATTTGGGTGGTAGCTCAGTGTACCAGCTAGCAGTGGTGCTCAATCGAGCTGAAGTAAGAATTAATCAGCACAATGACAACATTTGAAATTACTAAATCAGAAGAACAAAAAGAAAAAAGAATTTAAAAAAATGGAGAAAGTCTATGGGAATTATGGGACACCATTAAGACACAGTCGGTGCCTTGTAGGAATTTAAGAAGTAAAAAAAAAAAAAAAAAGTGTCAGAAAGGATTCTTTTTTAAATAACGGTACCAGCTAGCAACATACCCCACCCACTAAAGAAGTGAAAAGTGCTACCTGGCTTGAATCCCTAGATGGCCAGCCTCTAGGTCCATCCTCAAACCCTCTCCTGGGACCCCACCCAGAAAGGCAGACAACCACCACAGCAAATTTTTACAAAAGTGATGCACTAGTTGTGCCATAGCTGAAGATTTAATTCGTGCTCCAAGTGGCTTCAAAGCACACCCACAAATGTTACCCAGAAATGGAAGAAAATATCAAGCATGCATTTCTACTGAGCTTAATAGCTATTCTATTTGTTTTTATCTACTTAACCTCAGGTCCATTTCTACAACCCTGATCAACTGCTGAACTAAAAAAGCAGTGCTTTCTAGCCAGAGAATATATCCAGTGGCCCAGGCAAATCAGAAGTAATTACATCGCCCATCCAGCAGGTTAAGCTAATTGCAGAGTTTAACCAGTGATTTTGCTGGATAGTGGAGCCTAGCCACCTACACTATCAGAATTCAGACCAAAGGCAGCAGCCTAAAAATCTAGAAAACCCAAAAGAAAACTCTGTCTTTTCAGGGTAATTACTAGCTGTCCCATCCAGAATCATAAGCTAGCTAAATAGTGAAGGCCTATCCTTGCCAAATAACACCTGCAAAAGTCAGAAGAGGTGGTTGTCTCCACAAATACACAAACAACAACGACAGAGGGACATGAGGATTACAAAGCCTCAGGAGATCATGACACCTCCAAAGGAAACTAGCAAAGTGACAAAAATAAACAACAAAAAGGAAAGGTCTATGAAATATCAGAAAAAATTCAGAATAATCTAGTTTTAAAAAGGTTCATTGAGCTTCAGAATATATAAATATTTTTTAAAAAATCAGAAATAATACATAAAAATAAAAACTTTGAGAAAAATTGGAAACAATAAAGAACAAATAAAAAACCCTAGAGGGAAAATATAAAATGACAAAATTGAAAATTTAAAGAGAAAGCTTCAAAACCCACCTCAAATAAGCTGAATAAATAATCAATCATCATAAAGATGATTTGAAATTAGTCAAAAGAGCAAAAAACAAAAAACAATAAAAAAGTATGGAGAACGATTATGGAAATTATTGGACACCATCAAAAGACAAACCTATGCCTAGTAAGCATTTAAGAAGTTAAAAAAAAGAGAAAAAGGTGTCAGAAAAGATATGTTTTAAAATGATGAATGAGTGGGATTATGTATTTAAAATGCTAAAGAAAAAAAAACGTCAGCCAAGTATACACTACCTAGCAAATCTATATTGCAGAAATGAGAGAGAAATAAAATATTTCCCAGGCAAACAAAATGTCAGAGAATTAATCACCACTATGCCTGCCATACAGAAATTGCTAAAAATTTTTTGAAATGGAAAGAAAAGGCTGCTAACTAATAACATAAAACTTACAAAAGCACAAAGCTCAATGGTGTAAGTAATACAGCACCATATTTCTAATATTCTAGGACTGTAATGGATATTTATAGAATAATTCCTTGTATGGTTATTAAAGAACAAAATTATTAATAAAAACTATAGTTAAAATAATTTGTCAAAACATACTACAAAATGATGTAAATGATGCAAATAATGTTAATTCTAGCATTAAACACATAAAACGAGAAGGAAAGTTAAAGTGTAGAGTTGTATACATTAAAATTAAGTGGCTATCAGCTTGAAATAAACCAATATTAGTGTAAAATATTCTATGTATACTTCATGGTGACCAAAACCCAAAAATATATACTAGATGTACAAAAGAAAAATAGAAAGGATTATATTCCTACTACAGGAAAGTGTCAAACCACAAAAGACAGCAAAAGAGGAAGAAAGCAAGCATTTAAAAATAACCAGAAAACAACAAATGGTTGTTGTTTTTACCTGTTAATAATTTCCTTGAGTGTAAATAGATTAAATTATCCAATAAAATATGTAGAGTTATTGAATGAATAAACAATAACAAGAATAAATTATATTTTGTCTACAAGAGACTTACTTTGCTTTTAAAGACACCAAAAAACTGGAAGTGAAGGGTGTAAATAGATATTCCACACAAATGGGAACCAAAAGAGAGTAGAGATAGTAATACTTATATCAGACAAAATAAAATTTAAGTCAAAAAGTATGACAAAGAAAGGCATTACATCATGATAAAAAGGTCAATTCATCAACATAATACAAATTATGTGTGTGTGTGTATATATACATGTGTGTATGTATATATGTGTATATATAGATATGTTTTATATATATATATATATAAAAAACATCCAACAGTGGAACATCTACATATATAAAGTGAATATTAAAGGATATGAAGGGACATACATATTGTGAAACAATAATAATAGGAGACTTCAATACACCATTTTCAATTATGGAACTATCATCCAAACAGAAAATTAGTAAGGAAACACTGGATTTGAACAACACTCTAGACCAAATGAGCTTAACAGACATATACAGAATATTTCAGCTAACATCATAGAATACACATTCTTCTCAAGCACATAGAGAACATTTACCAGAATAGATCTTATGTTAGCCTACAAGCCAAGTCTTAGCAAGTTAATCTCTTTGAACAACAATTGTATGAATCCAGAAACCAGTAACAGGTGGAATTTTGGAGTATTCACAAATACATGAAAATTAAACAATATACTTTCAATTAGCCAATAGGTCAATGAACAAATTAAAAGGTAAACTAAAAAAGTCTTGAGACAAACAAAAATGGTAACACAACACAATAAAACTTACGAATGTCACGAATGCAGTTTTAAGAGAAAAGTTTATAGTAAAAAATGCCTACATCAAAAAGGAGAAATATATAAACAATGTCATTTCTCAAAGTTATAGAGAAGG